ACCATATATCTGCATCAGTTCAAGTTCAAGAAATACAAGGCAAGCAGATAGGGGAGGGTCCAAAATTGTGTGGTGAAAATAAGAGATAAGTATTAACTATTAAGCCATAGGCTTTGCATCAATCCTGAATGAACTTTTGGAAACTTTATATGTGTACTTAACTAACAGTACGTAGGACCCAGAGAAATGCCTCTGCGTTAATAATAAACAATGCGCAAAGAAAATTAAAAACAAGCAGGGCAAGGAACGGAGGTTGTTCCCAAGACGCTAGGTCTAAACTTGGACTGCATTTTGATGTGAAGACAGTCCAGGTGGACCGCCTCTGTGAGGCCCCAAAGGAATAAGATATAACACCCTTCTCCCATCTCTATCTCTTTAATTGATCCATTTCAACAGTAATACCAATACCAATAATGAGCATCAAATTTGCACCATTTAGATCAAAACCGGACGATCTGAATTTAATTTTTTTTAGCAAACATATTTAATATAATAATTGAATATTTTAATGTGAACAGAACTTAAAATACAAATTATTTCTTAATTATAATTTTCCCAAAAATTTATTTTTTTATGCAAAAATCATTAGAAAAACTCCAAATTTAGAGCTTTAAAATTTTAGTTGTGAGCCCCACCTCCCATTCTGTTTCTTTCTCTTCATCTAAGCGGGACTGACAACTTACAACTTGCTAATCCGGACTGGGCCCAAGTTTTGGGCCTTGGCCCTAAGCACGTGTTTCTGAATCTTCCCAGTAGCAGTCTTGGGCAAGGGCCCAAACACTACAGATTTAGGGATCCAATAAGCCGGCATCTTCGACCTGCAAAACTGGATGATGTCTTCAACCAGGCGACGCTTCTGCTCATCATCGTTCAATTCTTCTTTCAGGGTCACAAACGCACATGGAGATTCGCCCCATTTCTCGTCAGGCCTCGCAACCACTGAAGCTTCTAGAATCGAAGGATGAGAATACAGGACATTCTCAACCTCGACACTGCTGATGTTTTCACCTCCAGAAATAATAATATCCTTGGACCTATCCTTAATCTCTATATACCCATCTGGTGTTTCACGGCAAGATCGCCGGAGCGAAACCATCCGTTCGCGAAAGTTTCTTCGTTTGCCTTAGGGTTCTTCAAGTAGCCTTTCATCACCACGTTTCCTCTCATCACGACCTCCCCTAATGTGAAGCCGTCGGCAGGGACGGGGTTCATGGTCTTGGGGTCGACGACGTCGAGGCCTTCCAGGCCGACGTAGCGAACGCCTTGCCGGGCGTTGAGCCTGGCCCGGTCTTCAGGGGGGAGGGAGTCCCACTCGGGCTTCCAGGCGCAGAAGGTGGAAGGGCCGTAGGTCTCAGAGAGGCCGTAGGTGTGGGTAACTCGGAAGCCTCGTTCGGACATTGCGCGGAGGACGGAGGGAGGAGGAGCGGCTCCGGCGGTGTTGACGTGAACGACGTGAGGAAGGGGAAGGATTGTTTGGTCAGGTGAAGCGTTAACAATGGAGTTGAGCACTATTGGAGCTGCACAGAAATGAGTCACTTTGTGCTCCGCGATCGCGGCATATACTGCCTTTGCCGTTACCTGCATGCGTCCAATTGTTGGGTATTCACACAAATTAAACAAAATAGATATTAATCCATAACGAAACATTGACATATAAGTCATATATAGTCTAATACTGCCCCATATTCTTAACACATAATAACTGGTTGACTAATTTGAATAGATTAAGAAAACTAGTTAAGTTAGTTATTGTAAGAAATAAAAGTTGTTTTTTAAATATCATTATTAATCAAGTGTATTGACTAGAACTATTATTATTACAAAAACTCCCATATCAAGGACAACCATAGTAAAATGCAGGACAATTATTCCTTTTTAAAACTCAAAACGACTAGATTTCGGGCTTAGCAGGGAAGGAAAATATAATATAATACCTGGCGAAGGCAAATATTGGTGCCACAAAGAGCTGCAAGAGTCCAAGTGTAAGACCAACCATTACAGTGAAACATGGGAAGTGTCCACAGATACACTGCTCCTTCATTCATTCCCCATATCAAAGCTCCGCTGAGCGCCATCAGATACGCCCCTCTGTGATGCAGCACCACCCCCCCTTGGGACTCGCCGTCGTCCCCGACGTGTAGTTCAGAGCTATGCTCTGCCACTCGTCTTCCGGACCTTCATGCATATCCGGGTCTCCACTCTCCAGAAACCTCTCGTATTCTATCGCCCCTTTCTCCACTGCGGATCTCAGTTCCTTTGGGTCCCGGTGCTCGTCGTCGCCGATCACTATTAACAGCGGGGGCTTGAAGGAGCTTTTGTCCTTCTGTGACCAGATTCTCAGGGCTTCCTCTGCTAGAGGGAAGAACTCTTGGTCCGCCATGATTGCTGATGATGAAGAATGGCTCAGAAGGAAAGCTATTGTTGATGCGTTAGGCGAATGTTCACTGGGTTCAACACTGCTCCCGCCATTGGGACTCCGAAATGAGCTTCGTATAGAGCTGGCACGTTCGGTGCTATCACCGCCACCTGTATCAATTGTTTCACATATGTAGTTTACACACATGAACTCACCCTAACACAAACCATAATACATAAATGTTTCGGCGAATAATCAGGATTATCTCTCTCAATTGTTAAGTTCATTTAGATGCATTCCCCTTAATCTGTCATTGCGTCAAGAGAGAACCCATTAGAAAATCAGAAACATTAATAAGCAAATTGAATGCTCTGAAGTCTGAATGCTTGCTTCTTCCACAGTAGTAAATCAGAAAAACAAGGGTTGTTTTTAAAATATACTTCTCAACTTATAACAAACAAGAAGAGGAACTGAGGAATTTAATCACATAGTGCACCGAACAATACTTAATGAAATTAACAGAAATGGATACAAAAAGAGAAAGAGAGGCTTGTTCAGCTCAGTGTCACTGGCATTCCTATCTCATCTAAAAACAGAGTAATTATATTAAATTTTCGGCAACAAAACCAGTAAGCAACTAATTGGAAAAATTAATGGTAGCTATGACCTCACCAAACTCCCGTGTCAAAGCTTTTTAATATCATTAGAAAACAGAGCACTGAAATTTTCTTTCTGCTTCCCATTTTCTTAGAAACCAAACAACCGGATAAGAAAAGTTACCGTGTTGCCGAGACCAATGGAATGAGCAGAGAGCGCGGAGGCCAATCGACGGCATCGCTGGTAGGTGTGGAGCCAAGTGTAGCGGCGGGATCCATGGACGACGGAAGTTCTGGTGGGGTGTACCAGAGCTGCTCTTTCCAGAAACCACAAGGGCGTCAAGGCAGTGTAGTTGGCTGCATTCTTGGGCAAATCGTCTATGTCGCCACCCACCATCGTCGCTGCTCTCCACCTCTCTTTCTTTCTGTGTTAGAAAAAGAGACAAACTTTGAATATTTATGTTTTGGAGTTTTGGTTGAGAGGTGAAAATGAGATTACGATAACTCAGACGGGCGAAAGAATGATTGAGTGTCTCTGAGTTCTCCGATTCATTGCGCCACTCATTTTGGCAACTTTGTTTTTATTTTCGTTTTATAGTTAGAACTTTAATTAAAACCAAAACAAACTAACAAAACATGTTTTTTCTGGGTAATTGTTTCGTAGTTATTATTACTCAGTTAATCAGTTGTGATTAGCTAGCGGTGCTTTCCCTGATTTGGATTCATGAAACGAGAGAGTGATACAGTGTGTCTGACGTATGTGGATCATGATCATCTCATATGGGAGTATTAAAGTTAATTTTGTTTTTCTGCACTGCAAATATTTTTAGTGACGAAGTTGACGATATTTAAAAAAAAAAAAAGAATGTGTTTGCGGAATTAATTTTAAATATTTTATTTTTTAAAAAAAGAAAAAGTAAAGTCACGTTACGAGGCTGTTAGGAGATTTAGGTTTATGTCAAAATATAAGGCAAAAAACTCATAAAAACTAAAAGACAAATAGTCCTATTAATTGAAAAGTATAATTTACTCTATCCAAAACATATTATACATAAACGTAATGTAAGAATTGAAAGTCCATTCAGAAAAGAAGAGCAATTATTGAAAGTTATATTTTTTTTGTAAGTTATAATTATAAGAACTTATTAATTAAACGTTATTTTATATATAAAGATTGTAAATAAATTTACTACATTAAAATTGTAAAGTCATAATAATCACAAAACTAATGTGTTGTACAAAATATACATACAAGTTGTACCCCAATTATAGAATGTTCAAATGGCTGCGATTGTCAGCCCAATTTCTAGCCTAACCTAGTACTCCTTTGGTCTTTAATATAAAACCTCCTAAGATAAATCTTATATTAAGGACAGTATTTTTTTTTGGGAGGGGATTGAAGGCCTAACTTGGTACTTGGCCTAGCTGAGATATTTGTCAAAACTATTGACCTTTTTTTTCATCTTGTCAAAAGAGAAAAGAAGCAAAGACGAGAGTCCAATGGAAAACAAGCATGAAATGAAAAAAATAAGAATTTAAAATTTAATTAATAAATATCGTTGTCAATTAAACCCTATTCTACTACAATCAAACGTGGGGCTAGAATTGCCTGGAGCCGTACAGCCATCCAATAGGGAGATAGAAAAAGTGGTAGGCTTCACTCGATATGGCATTCTACTCTATCTCTTTCCTTAGGAAATGATTCCATGAACCTCTTTAATCAAACATTAAATTTAAATTTAGACTTAGGCGTGTTTGGGATCACGTTTGGAGGCCCAAACGTGCATCATAACCAGAGAAGTAACAGGTAGGTTGAAAAATGATGTTTAAATCCATATTTGTGTATTTGACTTCTGCTACTGAAACGAACTTATGTAATAAGTTCAAAGAAGTGTTTTTTCTCAATTTGATTTCTGTAAAAGTCAGATTGAAAAAAATTACTTCTGCTACCGTTATCCCAATCACATCCTATGTCAGTCCAAGCATATATATCCACCAATCCACCTACCTCAATATCAGCTCTACGTTCAAGCCCCGAGGAAAAATCATATGGAAGGAACCTTAAACCATTTTGATTAGTACAATTCACAAATATGCATACATATCAACAAAATTGTTCATACAAACCTTACATCAAACATTCAAATTATACAGGGGAAAAAGAAAATACAAGCCAGGATATATATCGCGGCACAACAGATTAATCTGTGTTTGGAGTAGTTTTACTTTCAATGTGAAAGCCAAAGTAGTTGAAATATTCTCTACTTGCCCTTGCTTATTAGTTTTGCAACCAATTCAAAGAGGATACAAGAATAGACAGGCCAACCGCTATGAAGTAAAAGCTCAATTTGTTGCTGATGATGAAGTAGGAGATGGCTTAAACGCAGCTTGCTCAGCACAGCTGAGAACCTCGTTAGGTCCAGCCTCTTCCCGACCAATACCCATAAGATCAAGATAATAAAGATAGTGAGACATGATGTTGTTCATAGACTCATTATCAGATCCCTCGCCACAGACAAGATCTCCATGCAGCACATTCATGGTGGTGCCAAAGCCGGGAACCCGCTTGTAGAGTGTGTCATTCTTTGTGGGTTTCCAGTTGCCAACAAAGACATCATGGGCTGAAGGTATATGCTTGTCAGGAGGGGTCATCCATTTCCATATTGCAGCCTGGAAGGCCAGGGTAGCGTTTTGCTCTATGTATTCTGGATGGTTCAATAGATCTACCTTCAGGGCTTCCCCAGTTTTCCCATAGTTGTAGTTCCTGATGTGAAAGTTCCATTAAAGAAAATACTATAACTTCCCATCATCATTTGTCAAATAACCCATGCTTTGATCTATTATTTAGGAAAGCATAAAAGCAATTCAACTCTAAAGCATAAATAACTCATGCGTATGAAAAGGAATAAATTAGAAAGGAACATATCTCCTGCAAACTTTTCCCTACAAGATGCTTCTTTAACGGCTTCCAATTTTCACAAATCATAGTACATTATACATCATGCTTGTTCCTTTGATGGAAAATCAACAAAAGCATCTTAAGTGTGTGTGCAGTTACCAGCTTGCAAAACCCAGTTTTCTGAAACTATCTTCTGTTCAAAAAAACCCAGTTTTGCGTTAATAATTCTTTCTGCGAAAGTCAATTTTGAATCATCCAACAAACATTATCGAAGATGGGCTTTGCAAAAGTCAGTTTGGACATTCAAAACTAGGAGCCAAACCCACAATAAGAATGCCAAGTTTTACATACAAATTTTTTCGTCAAGGAATCATCATGCAAAATTTTCCCATTTTGCAGTATCATCCCATTAAATACTGAGTGCAGAATTTGGTAGGACTTAATCTGAAATAATTAATTATGAAAATAACTAAATAAAGACAATAACACTTGCGAAAAAAGCGTACCAATAGATTGGCAGAGCACCACGGCCATAGTATGCCACACCAGGAGCGCAGGGAAAGGTTAGCTTGTAGTAGTCGTCGCAGTAGTACTTATCAGGACTCAACTCCTTGTTGTAGCATAATCCCCAGGCAAAGGGTCCTCCAGTGGCCACCCCATATCCACCTGAAATCATTTTTTAATCATAATTTTTCTCTGATACAGGGACGAAAGCTTGACCATCCAAAGCTTTTAAATATATCTCAAACATCCCATATCGAACGATTACCAGTTCATAATCAACCTATTCAAATGATTGAATTTTCTGAACTTTTCATAAAACTAACTGATAAGGTTGAAGTACCCATAACCATTGGCTGTCTGTTTTGCATATCACAACGTAATAATCCAGCCAAACCTGTTATATAGTTTTGTATACTTCCTTTGCTGTGGATCTAACGAGAACAATAAAAGAAGCCATCACAGGTCCATCAAAACTATCTCACTACAGATGGTTGCAAGTCTTCAAATTGTATTTGAACAACTTATATCGTGATACATCCTACTTTAAATGTCATGAAACATTGTGATCAATGAAGCAGCAGAAATGATGTGGAGGTGGAGACGTTGTGCACTTCCTATATTTGAACGAACGCAACAGAAAACTTACAAGAGGTTTTGCTGCCAACATGACCAAGAAAAGCTGCAACCTCTTTCTGTCCACCGATCTTTCCTCCGGTGGTACCAAATCCGAGAGGCTGGTACAATGCTGCGGCAGTGATGAAAGAACGATAGTCCCAGAAGCCAACTGCATGAGCCACCGGCGTATTTCGCTTCGAGAAGAGGTTCTCGAACTGGTATGTCTCAAAGTAGTCAGAAATCGTCTCGTTACAGCAATAAGGAGACCATCCTTTGCATTCCCACCCTTTGTCACATAGCTTCTTGCCCTTCACTATCTTCACCAGCGGCTTCACCGCCGATTGGCCGCTCACAACAATCGCTAATATCGTCGAAATGCTCAACAGAAGAATCCACTTGGGATTCATCTTCCTCTGAACCTTTTTTGTTGGGTGTTTTCTGGGCGGTTTGAATGCTGATTCAGAACGAATTTGGAGGAGGCGGGTATTTGTGATTTTATGAAGAGGCTTCTAGCGATTTCTGTGCAGTGAAAGGGATGGAAAATGAATCGGTAACTGATTAGGAGGGATTGATTATCAGAGTCGGGGTAGGTAGAGCTTTCGCTTCCATTTTCATTCATCTTTGAGTGGAAGGAAAGAAAGCCTCGAGAGAGAGAGAGACAGACAGACACACACACACACAAACACACGAGGGGCACTTCAGGGTTCTTCTCGCGAAAGGAGGGAAATTTTTAAGCTTTACGAGTCGAGGAAATGTTGATCATGATGCCCAAATCCAAAATAATGAGTTCTTATTCGGATGGTTCCTTGGCGCATAGGGGACCTCTAAAATCTTAATTTAGCATCTCCAAAATGATAAAAATATTGTTTTTGGAAATAACTTTTCAACTTAGCTCATGCCCAAAAATATTAAATTGAGTGTACACTTTAATAAAAACACAAAATGAAGAAAATGATTTACTTTTTTTCTCTTTTGTTTTGTCAACCTACTTATTATTTGTAATCACAACATTATCAATTTTTTTTTCAATAACATGGCCAAAATTTAAGTCATGCAAAAGTAAACTAAAACAAGACAAATCGGACAGTAAAAAATCTATACATCTTATGAGAAATTGTTAATGATTCTAATATTAAGATTCTGATGATTTGTTTGATAAGCCAGCCAGTTTGCATATCTATTGACCTTTTTAAAATTTGATCAATAGAAAAGATCCAATCTCTCATGATAAGATTCCTAATCTTTTTAATAACATTAGTAAGAGAATGAGTCTGGGAGTATTCATTTTGAATTAGGTGGATTGCCTCTGCTGAGTCATACTAAACATTAGCTTACATTGGAAGAGGAAAGCATGCATGTGAATATACAATTTAGTTAATTTACATTTCTAGCCTCGTCTCTCTCTTAAGCTCATCATGAATCATGATGAAGCAGTAGAATGGACTCTTAGGTCCTGTTTGATGCAAGATATTGAAAATAAAGGATAAATACTGTAATTGCAATTAAAAAATTATTTAAAAAATATTTAACATAAGTAATTATTTATTACATGATATTAGACAAGTTCGTCAAAATAGAATGGTGAATACCATCTCCTTGCATAGTATTTTTCAATCCCATATATATATATATGAGTTTATTCAATTCTATATAATAAGTAATTTCTCTTACTAAAATACTTTTTTAATAGATTTTCTCAATCTCAATTCTAATTCTTATCCTTTATTTTCAATGCCTCTTACAAACCGGACCTTAAGGTGAATAATTCAACTTTGGCTGCAGGCTACTTTGATAGATTCACTTTAAGTTTCATAATTCAAAACAGAGGATCCAGCTGGTTGGTTGCTGTCGATAGCCTCTCTCTAGCTCCAGAGGTTGAAGAGACTCTTTCTCTCGTCAATGCCCCAAAAATATTTATTTTTAAAAAAAAAAGACAGAAAACATATATATTGAATTTTAAAATAATAAATAGATAATGCTGGTTATTTTTCAAAATTTATTTATTATTTTAAAATTCAACAGGTATTTTTTAAAATCATTTTTTTATTTTATATATGTGTATTTAGCTTATTACTCATCCCTATAATTTTAATTATTTAAAACTTTAGTCATTGCACTTCATAAAATTTATAACTTTATTTTTTAATAATATAGGGACAAATTTTTTAAATAGTTAAACTATAAAAATTAAATAAGTTGCATGAGTATGAGTTAAAATTATAAAGAATGAGTTATTATTGACTCAAAATTTTATGACTAACTTCGATTCAAAGAGTGTACTCGTTATTGACCAATTTGGGCTAGGGCCGATATATGTTATTTAGTTATCTGCCCAGTCTAGGGTCCAGTCTGGGTAATTGCTGCTGAATTATTTGGACTTATTTTTCTGTTGGACTCATGGCTGGACTCGGCCCAAATTTGAATTTTAACCCTGCAACTCTGCAACTCTGCATTGTACTTGCAATGGAAGTATGCAACATGCCTTCCTGCTCAACACCATAAATTACAGTCCAAAAAAAGACACTCCATAAATTAAATCCTAAAGAGTAAAATTGTTTAATTTAATGTTCTAAAAAAATAAATCGCTTTAATTTTCTTTTTAGAAGATTATTTAGCAGTAAAGTGGTTCAAGTTTTAAGTATTGATATGTGAAGAAATAACATATAAAGAAATGAAATGAGATAGGTTACATCATGCAGAAATTTTAATTTTTAACAAATTTTGTTGTATAGTTCCCATCCCTGAATTACTAAATTTGGATCCATATTATGAACAACTTATCTACGGAGACAAAAGAACAGATGTATGGAAATGGAGGGGAGCTGAAAGAATTCGAGTCTTCTTGTGGATAGCCTTCAGTAATAGATTGCCAACAAATCCATGGAGAAGCAAATGGTCTTCTTGTTCTCCCTTATGTCCAGACTGCAGTGATTTTGTTGAAACTGTGTTGCTTATTGTGAGGGATTGTGTTTTTGCGAAAAATATATGGGTACAATTGGTAAGCCACAAGTATTTCAAACAATTTTTTACAGCCCCTCTGTGTGACTGGTTTGCTCTTAACCTCAAGAATGATATTGGTAGGAATGGTGATACGAAATGGGATCTTTTATGGGGTGTGATACTTTGGAAATTATGGTCTTGGAGGAACAAGGTTATTTTTGAACCTCATTTTCGAAAACCCCCTGATCCTGTGTCTGAAATAATGCACACCTGGAACAATTATATTTCCTTACGGGATGGCTGCCACCGCCCGCAGACTGAGTCAAACTGAATGTAGATGGGGCTATGACCTCCTCTTGCACAAAAGCTGGATGTGGGGGCATTATTAGGGATTGTAATGGCCACTGGATTGCTGGGTTCACACATCATTTGGATTCTGGGGTGCTGTTCTGTTTTTGAAGCGGAGGAATGGGCTATTTTGAGAGATCTGATCCTGGTTCATGATATGGGATTCAAAAAAGTTATAGTGGAATCTGATGTTAAAACTCTAGTGACCATGCTGAAAAAAGAAAGTAGGAAGGAGGTTGGCAGCTTAATTTTTCATCGAATCAAAGAGATGATGACTTATGACTGGGAGCTGGAGGTCAACTACATACCAAGAGAGCAAAATCGCCTAGCAAAAGCTTTGGCGAAGGAGGGTCTTGCGCAGACAGCTTTTTTCAACTTCTATCCCTCTAATTTAAGGGCCTTGGCTAACTTAGATAGTCTGGGATTTAATCCCCTTTGATTCTGTTTTGTTTTCGTCTTTTGAAGTTTAGCTTCATCCTTTGTACCAAAAAAAAAGCATTTTTCCAATATGAAATGTCAACAAAACTGAAATTTGATTTGTTTTGGCTTCATACATGGAATGAAAAAACCACTAGGACGGTGACACGTGATGAAATGAATGAGGAAGGAAAAGACTCAAAAGTGTGGATCCCCCGCATCACTCACCTCACGGACTCCCTCAAGTCATAATCAATTGGACCATCATCATACTTTTCTCTGTAAAAGGCAAAATCGGACCCTTCAGCTCGGTTCTTTGCTTTATGTATTTGTTCTGATATTCCTTTATATATATATATATATATATATATAATATCAAAGTATTAGATTCCAAAAACTTACTAGGTCTTGCTAGCGAAGACAATTTTACATATTATAAGTGGATTTTTTATTAATTGGACCAATTTGTGTTCGCATTGTAATATTTCAACTCACATACTTTTTTTAATATTGAATTGAAATTAATTAAATACAAATTTTATAATAAGTCTTGTTATTTCAAAAACTATAAAGGCTTTTTGGGCCAATTGAAACTAAGCATTTTCTCAAATTTTACTTAAGTATGATATCGCCTATTCAACTCTTTGTAAATAGTACTCCTCTAGTCTTATTTGTAAATTACTTTCAGTATATTTCACATAGACTAAACAAAACCTTTAAACTTCATTAACTTTCATTTAAAATTTAACAACTTTTGTCAACCAAAAAAAAATTTAACAACTTTTTAACTTTATTCATATTTAATATATATATTATATTTTATGTAAACAAAGTCAATACAGTAATAAATGAAGGGTAAAATTGTACATCAGTACAAAAAAAATTTCTCAGTGCTCTATAAATAGGTTTAAAAAATATCTTCTCTCCCTCCCTTATAAATAGGACTATAGGAGTTGTATATTAAATGTGTAGGTTTCGAGTGGAAGATGAAAAAAATCTAAAAACATCATTAGCCGTTAATCACTTTTTTTAAAAAAAAAAATTCTCACGAATTTTGATTTGGCTCTTAACTATAATTCCCAAACATCATATCAGTTTGATAATGGGTTAACATACATCTAACACCTCAAAATATTTTATCAAATATATCCAACATTCCAAAGTATTTTGTAATACATCTAATATTACGAAATATTTTTTAGATGTATTTACAGCCCTGAAGTATTTTTTTTACCTTGGTGTTGGATGCACCAAATAGTATTTTTAGGTGTAAGACACATATGAAAAAAAAATTTTAAAGTGTTGGATGCACAAAAAAAAAACTCCAAGATGCTAGATGCATCTAAAAAAAAATATTTCAACATGTTGGATGTAACAATGGTTCTCTCCAACCTGTTACTAACATTTTTAAACTTAAAGCTAATAATACTAACCATGGTAAGAAATAATCTTAGTATAATCTTTGAAAAGACTATCATGGTTATAAAAAGAAATTTGATCCGTTGGAAATGCTAACCATGATAGAAAAGACTTGAACTAATTTTTAGAGATATCTATCATGATTATAAGAGCTTTACTAGATCAATTATATGAAAATCATAATTAATAATATTTCACAATGATTAGGTCTTGGGCTTTACGAAATCCAAAACATCACATTTAACTCTAAACTCATAACATGATATTTTTTGAATAAAATTCTTTCAGACTAATAGTAATCAACTATTTTTGAAAGTTATTGTGGATCCACAACTTATAAACACAAGTAAACTCTTA